TGATATGGCCAAGGCCCCTTGGCCCCATAAAGGTCCACCCTTATTGCTAATATAGCATAGAGTACTTCCAAAGAGTGTTGAGATGCATCTGTTACGATGTCAGGCTAACTTTACCTTGGCAATGAGAGATTTGGTCTTTTCCCCATTTTGTTTTCACCATGACAAAAATGTATTTACTCGACAATTGAATCTCTATAAAGGTGACAAGATGTCTCATCTCTGACTAAGGGTTTAGGGAAACCCCTGTCCTCTCTCTTACTATAGTGACTCTATCACCTCTACTGGTGATCATCTGAATGAATAAAGAAGTCACAGACCCTAACGTGAGCCCACCTACGTGAGACATCATTATACACGGCATAAAGAAAATGAAGTAAATAAAAAATTACCTTACGATAGGAAACGGTGGCGGATTGATGAACGCTGCTCTTGTTGAAGAATCAAACTTAGAAAAGATCTAAGTCTCAATGAAGAACAATAAGGGATGAATGGAGAAGGTGACGGTAATAGATAGGGTTCTTTAGAGTTTCTTTTTGATGCTGGAAACAAGATAAAGAAAAGATAAAGGAATTTCAAATAAAATAAGATAACAAAGAAATCAAAATATCTCCCTTATGAGGGTGAACGGTAAAGATGATTGATGACGTTGACGGATATGTGAAAAATCGATGGATAATGTCCTATCGAGCCCTCCTAGTCGCAATGAAAAGGCAAACATGATAATATGGCTCTAACCAACCCTCCTACTCGCGATGAAAAGACAAATTGGAGTATGAAGATTAATCTCCCTCGCAAGAACTTGAAAGAACTCAAGGAGAAGAAGCTTCGAAGGCACAAGGCAATCAACACTTGTAAAAACGAACTCTCGTTGTATTATTAATCAAAGAAATCTTGAATTACAAAGTTTAATGAAGCCTCCTTTATATAAGGGCTGAGTTCTAAAGGTCCTAAATAACTAATGAATAAAATAATAATAAACTAAACATATCTTAACTCTAATTCCTAATAAAATAATAATAACTAAAGATAATATTTTTAACCCAACCTTAATTCCTAATAAAATAATAAATTTAATCCTAAAAGATAATGCATCATCCTATATTAAGTTATATTACAAATAATCAATAAAAATATTGAAAATTCGTAATTTACAAAATCCGGTAATAATCCCGTATAGGATTTTCTGCATGCACCGTCTTCAGTAAAATAGTCATATCTTGAGTTCCCGATATCGGATTGATGCGATTCAAGAACCGTTAGAAAGATAAGAGATAGACGGTCGTATCTCCAGAAGACATCTTGACTAAATAAGATCAGGATACCATTCAAAAGTCGTCGTAAGTCTGCTTCTGTTCAGATCTTCTTTTCCAATGCTTGGACGAGTAGATCATTTGGAAGAGTTATTACTTCTTCCTTTGATGCATGTATCATCCTCCCTTTCTTTAAAAAGATTCGACCTCGAATCTGAAACATTAAAGGGAGCAACATTAGAATCATTTAATGATTCATTCATATTATACTTACCGAATAGATATGCTTTGAATCTTCGAGACTTTGTTCTTCTAATAGGTTCGAGTAGAAACATTAATCCAAAGAAACATGTATTATAGACTCGGGTGCATGTATCACATTCCCTCGTAATACTTTTATTGTCTGAATGAATACATTCACATCTAGCATTGACAGCCTTTGTAGGGAGAAGTATACGCACCAAGACATGATTCAGACGCTTCCACTCGGTCATAGCGTTAAGGTATTCCGTTAAATAACAGAGCCTGGAGAGTACTCTGTTTTATCTTTATACTGGAGAATTAAAACACCTCCGATTTTTTTCTAATTAAATCTTTAATTTATCAAATTTAATCTTATAAAAGTTTTTTAAAATTAAATCGAATAATGAATATAATACCAAGGTTTTAAATTACGGACCGAAAACACAATAGCTTTTGTTTCATACTATGAAATCAGGGGAGAGTTGAGAGTTGAGAGTTGAGAGTAAAAGTAGAAATGTCCGGAAAGGAAAGGGGGAGTTGGTTTATTTCTTTTATTTTTTAAATTAGTTTTTAAAATATAATTTTAAAGGATACATTAATTTGACATCCCTCCCACTTTTAAAATTTATAATTTAATATTTACTGTAAAATGTAAATTTTAATTTTTATTTAATTTAGTCTTAATGTCATTAATCTAAATTTCTGTAATTTAAATTTTATAATTTTATTTTAATTTTAATTAATTTAATTATTTTAGGATAAATTGTGCGACATTTTTAAAAAATTAAGACCGCGATACTTACAATAATTATAATGTCATCCTTTACTTCTGTAACCGTGATAAATATAATGTAACAAAACGTTATTTAAATACTCGAATAATACTCAAATAAACCACAATTCCAATTTTGATGTCAAAATTCAAAATAAAAGGGGCAAAACATTGGCATCATGGTGATTAAAAAGAAAGAGTTGGTCCCATGATGGATGGGGAGGTGGGTCCCGGGTTAAGTTAAAAAGCAAAGAAAACGACAAAAGAATAATTGGAGAGGAAACAGAAGCGAGAGCGAGTGACGTAAAGAGCTTGGAGTTGAAGCGAGCGCCAAAAGAAGCAGATCTTAACCGTTCGATCTCCTCTACCCTTTTTACTGAAAAACACAATGCCTTTTTCGTTTTTAAACACACGAAAAGAGTTTCTAAGGCTTTTTTGGGGCTACCTTCCACCGCTCGTACATGCAATCATGGCGCGTGGGCTGTACATTCCATCTTAATCATTTTACTTTCAACTATTATTATTTTTAATTAATTACTGTTATTCGATCTATTAATCGATTAATTCAGATCGGGTACTGTAGAATTGACGATCCTCCCAATCCAATTTTCTCTATTCGCAAAAGATAAAATTCGAACTCCTAACTTTACTTAAGAGACTCTTATTAATTATAGAAAAAACAATATTTCCATATTATGCAACCAGTGAACTATTCTGTGTTTTATTGATTATTGTTTAATGCAAATTTAATTACTATTTACCGATATGAAAATAATAATACTAAAATATATAAAATTTTAATATATAACTCCAATAAATTAGTAAATTTAATATGAGAAGATTTTAAATTGTTTTAAATTAACAATATTTTAATTTATTTTACTTTTATAATCTTAGTTTATTTTTTGGTAATATTTTCAATATTATGTAGAATATAATTAAAAAACAATTCAATAATATCATATAGTAATACATGAAAGATCAAATAAAGATATTACAATAAAATATAAATAGACAAAAAATAAAATAAAGAGTTTATAATTTCAATTAAGAGTTCATTAGAAGTGTAGTACAACAACAAAATTGGAACTGGTACTATTATTTTGTACTTTATATAACTTTTGATTCACTATAATGATATTATTTTACTTTATATTAATTTTAATATATATAAATTTATAAATATTGTAACTACATAAAGCTTATAAAGTATAATTCACGACATTCTCATACTTTTGTATAATTTTTTATATAAGATAATTAAATATATAAAATTAATAAGAATTTAAGTTATTTTTTTATAAATATATTGAATATTTTATAAATATTAAGTTATACATTAAAACCAAGTTTATATATTAAAAACTTATATTTATATGTAATTCTAATTTTTAAAATTAAAAAAAAAACGGTAGTTGCTCGTTTTTAGTACAACTAATAGTACTGGTCTTTGGAGAGACCCACCAAAATGTACGGTGGGGGTTCGATTTATGTTAACGCGCTAATGCACGAGCGTGGGGCTTCCCCTCATTTATTATCATTACAATATGGACACCGGAATTTATGGGACTTTTGCTGTTTTTTTTAATGATTTATTATTATTAGTCCCCGAATAAGATACTTGCTCTTTTCTTCTTTGTCGCCCCCACTTCTTTCCCAAATCACGAAATTGCCATTTCCTCTCATATATTTCACCATTTAACCAATACAATAGTGTCAAATAAGAAAAATTATACCACGTTCGACGAGTATCGCTGTACATCATTAACGATGACGAGAATCGTTTAATTATTATTAATTTAATTTATAAAAATTTAAGATTTTAAACGACTCAACATATAATTATAAATAAGTTAAAAATGTAAAGATAAATAATTTTTAAAGATAAATTATCATTTTTTATTGTTAAAAATTATAAAAATAATATAATTAATATTTTTTTAAATAATTTACCTTTACTTTTTTTCACTAATTTATAATTGTATGTTGAGTCTTTAGAATTTTAAATTTTTATAAATTAAATTAATTATACTCAGCAGTGTTTTGTCGAACGTGGTAGACTCATCCATCAAATGAATATGAAAAAAATATTTTCACCATTAATAAATTGTTTATAAACTTTTAGAAATAAAATATTGAAAATTACTTAATCAACGATTAATTGATTTTTCCATATAGAGTGCCTTATTACATGTCATTATTTAAATATCAATAATCAGTTAGTCTAATGAGATAAAACATTAGATCTTTTAAATAAATTTATGAGTTTGAATTTTGATATTGTGAATGAAGTAATAAATTTGGTTATAAGGATCGACCCATGATGAATATCTGCGATACTCCATCTGAATTAATCGATCGATAAATCAAATATTGATGTAATTTACCAAAAAATATTATTTAATGTATTAATGATGAATTTTTTCATGTATAACTTTAATTTATATTTATGTATTTTATTTAAATATATATAACATATAAAATTACACTATAATAAATTCATGTGAATTGATTTATTAAATCAGTGTAATTATCTTAATGTGAATTAATGTTATATTAAACCTATTTTTTTCAAAAATAAAAAAAAGTCCAAATGAAGGGCAAAAATGTAAATATAAATAAATTGGGACCTGAGGGATGCAGGTATTTTTGAGCCAATGGATTCACTAGCACGGATTCTTGAAAACCTGCAGTTGTTTTTATTTATTAATTTATTTTTCCCTCAAACAAAGAACAAAGCATTGAGCTTTTCCCCAACTATAAAATCAACCCACCCACCATTCCTTCACCCACTCATCTTCCACCTGCTCGTAAAACTCAGACCTTTTTTCCCCAGAAAGAAAAAAAAAACACACAAAAATGGACTCATCTGGACGTTCAAGGAGGCATTGTTTCATTGAACAAGATCAAGGCTTGGCTTCTATTGCGGTGATGGAGGCTGGATATTCGGGCACCCATTACCAAACCCAGATTCAAAATGGGTTTTTTCAAAGACCTCTTTGTTACACAAGGAGAACCAGCTTGAGGAATCTATCTTCTTCATCTTCTTCTTTATGTTTATATCCAAGATTTGAGGACCAAATCCGTCAACCCCATTTCTTGGATTCCTGTTTCCTTTGCAGGAATCCTCTTGGGGGAAACAAAGACATCTTCATGTACAGGCTAGTGTTTGAAAAGATCTTATGAATCTTTTGGTTTTTTTTTGCTTTTTGATTTGGGGTTTAAAATTGGGATTTTGATTCGTTTTCTGATTGGGTTTTTTTGTTGCTGTTGCTGCAGAGGGGATACTCCTTTTTGTAGTGAGGAGTGTAGACAAGAGCAAATAGACATTGATGAGGCTAAGGAGAAAAGCAATAGCCTTTCTTCCTCCATGAAAGTTTTGAGGAAGAAGGATCAAAGGAAAGCTACAACTTCAACTACAAAAACCCAGAGCTATCCTTTTCGACCAGGCACTGTTGCAGCTGCATAAATATAATCGTTTCACAAAGGAAATAAAGAGTGAGAAAAAAAACATATATCTACCCTTTTATATGAACTGTTGGAAAAAGGACAGAGGAGGAGGGCCAAGGAGAGAGGATGAAGAAGAAGAACAAGAAATCATATTTGAGACTTAACTGTGAATGTTATTTGGATCTGCTCTGTGATATGGCACTTTTTTTTTCGGTGTGATAATTTTGTTCTCCCCTTGTTAACAAGTTCCAATGAATGAAATGAAGTTGTTATGGCTTCTTCATGGACTATTTTTGTAATAATTTTCTCCTTGTCGATATTTTCATTTACCATGAATGATGATGAAAGAGAAATGAACATGAATGGAACTTGCTGGGAATTGGAAAAGCTGTGTTTTTTTTATTATTGATTTATGCTATTCATTGTTATTGCAATTGATTCTTTCACCCTTTATTAAGGTAGAGAGAGAAGTAAAGGTTGGAATTTTAGGTGATAAAAGGCAGGAATTTGTGGCCATTGCAGCTATTGGTGCAGCTCCCACTGGGGAAGCAATGACAATTTTACAAGTATGGGGCTTTCATCATCATCATCATCATCATCAATTCTACACACTTCTATACTGTTTGGTATTGCAATTAATGGAGACAATGTTCAAGAACAAGAGACTGATTTGATGGTTCACACTTCCCAGACGACTGCATAACATAAAACATATTTCTAACATTACTTTTTATTAATTAAAAAAACCATTAGGTTTAGGCCTAGGTTTTCCTTTGTGAGATCCAAAGCTGGTAGGAGGAATAATTAGGACTATGAATGTAGTCCATTAAAGTAATGTTATTAGACCCCACATGTTATAGGTTAGTAGTAGATTTATCATACATTAGTGTTTTTTAATAAATATATATTAATATATAATGTAATATTTGTTTAAAAAAATTAATATATGAAGTTTTATTTGTTTTAAAAGGTTTTAATTACTTAAGAATAAATGTTTTTATCTTTATATATGTAGGGTTCGAATTTAAGATTTTAAGAGTTATTTATAAATTATTAATTATTAAAATAATTTGATTCGTGTATACATTCAAATATGCATAGCAAATAACAATAAAGTTTGGTTTAAGTGGTAAGCAGCTTAGTATCGTTTAAGCAGATCACAAGTTTGATTTCTTATGTATGCAGAAAATTCATGCTGAGATATTCACTCACTAAAGTCAAATGTGACACTCGAGTCGATCTAGATTAACCAAGACGAAATCTTAGAAATTGAAAAACTATTAGAAAAAAAGGATGAATTACTTTGATGAATTTAATATTTATATTAAATTCAGACCTTTTAAATATTACAAATTAAAAAATATTATTTAATTTGAATATTAGTAAGATAATTACTCTTTTAATATGTCAATTTAAAATGGTATTTATTATCTTTTAAACTTTGAATATTAAAGATAATTATATACTTTTGAATATTTTAAATTAAAATATTATTTTAAATTTAAAAAGTATTATTATTTGTATAAATTTAGATATTAAAATATATTTACTTGGTGTAAAACTCTTTCGAAAATCCCTTATAAATATTGAGCAAACCTGTTAGATTTTTCATATCTAGGAATTCAAGAACTTTTATTCTCTTAAAAAATATTTTATTTCATGCTTAGAAAATATTCATTTTTCTTCCTTAGTTTTTCCGATGATAGTTAAAGGCAATGACAATTCGTGATCTCCACTATTCTGCTACCGTAGTTGATCATCTAGTTATTGTATCATGGGAGACAAACGACCAAAAGATCTTGAGCACCAATGAGTGATCAAAAATTTATCTTAAGGAAACCGTGTAGCGACAGATCTCAATTAATTTCAATCACAAGATAAAAAATAAAAGAGTATTTTATTTCCTTTTAATTCTCTTTTATTTTTTTTAAAGAATTTAATTTCTTCTTCTTTTTTTAAATATGTCTTAAGATTTATTATATCCGATATATGTTGGTTATGAAAAAAAAGAAATTGTGGAAGCCATTAGACCACAAATACAAAGATGAAGATGCTTGAGCTAAAAAGTTTTTAGTTGCAAAGTTCTTGAATTTTACTATAGTTGACTCTAAATCGATATTAAAAGAAGTGGAAGAATTTCAACTACTGATCAATGGAATTCTTACTAAAAGAATGGTCATAAGTGAATCATTTAAGGTAGTTGCTATTATTAAGAAATTAAGAAATATCTAAAACACAAAAGAAAGGAAATAACTGAGGAAGAACTGGTTGTCAGACTTCGAATAGAAGAAGACAACATGATTAATGAAAAAGGCTCAACAAAGAAGAAGCTAAGACAAACGTGATGGAAATCAAGGACTTCAAGAATGGAAAACAACCCAAAAATAGGTTAAACCTGAGGCCTAAAGGTGGAATTTCTAAGAAGGAGAAATTCCAAGGGAAGTTCTTTAACTGTGGTAAGATGGGGCACAAATCCTCTGAGTGCAAACATCAAAAGAAAGCCAAAGCTCACAAGGTTAATGTTGTGGAAAAAATAGTTAAGGATATTGTAACATCCTCAATACCGGGTTAGTGACCAAAGTGTGAAATTTTAAATTTCTGTGACCAAATTAAATAAATTGAAAAGTTTAGGAATTTATTTAATGATGTTGGTGTAGGATGGTTTAGTAAATGAAGGAAGAGTCAAAGGGAAAATAAGTCTTTGAACAAGGATAATAATAATAAAATAATTATTGGGTATTATAATACCCATGTGGAGCATGTTTTACGGGATAAGTTTCTAGACTTATCTTCTTCATATTCTTATCTTCTCCAACGTGAAACCCCAAGATAAGGTGAGTTTGATTTCTTTTGGTTAATCCTTAAAATTTAAGTATGGTTTTGGTTAAGGAAGACTTAGGAAACATGATGGAGATGAAAATGGTTATAGAAACTCAAAGATTTGTAAGTTATGAAGGATTAAAACTAAGAAGTGGATAAGTGAAATTTTGAATAAGGATGTATAAATGAATTTAGAAGTTGAATTTGACTTGTCATAGGTGTGAATAAGAAGTTATAAGTGTTAAAATCAAAGTTCGGATAACATGGAAAATTGAGTATGATTCTTGGTTTTAAGAATTTAGATGATATATGGGAAGTAATAAGGTGTTGGAATGATAAAAGTTAGTTAAAATGGTTGTAGTTGAGTTTAGTGGTATGCAAGGAGTTTTATATGAGGAAATTTAATGAAAAGTTATGGAATTTTTGAGTGAAACCAGTTTATTATTGACAGGTGTATCGGTACACTATGAATGGGTACCGATGTACTAAGACCAATTTTGAAGGTGTATCGATACACATCGGCATGCATCGATGCATGGGAATTTTGAACCTAATTTGTGTACCGATACACCCATAGTACATCGGTACACTCCTAAAGGAAAAATAAATTTTTGGTTCATTAAATTAGCCTAAGTTATTAATACCAAGTTATAAGGTTTAGGATTCTGAAAATCGTCTCAGAATTTATGTTTATGTAGATATCGAGCCTAAACGAGTTCCGAAACAATCGAAGAAGTAGAATTGAATCAACGCAAGCAAGGCCAAGGCAAGTGCATAATATAGGGATAATCTAATGGAATTAAGACTTGCGATGACTCTATTTCCTAGGTTAATTTCATAGTATAATAGTTATGAACATGCATACATTATAGTCTTTATTTACATATGCATAAGTCATATATGTATACATATGATTCACTACATGTTATATGAACCATATGAATGTATTCAAATGTTTGTATTATAGAATATGATATGGATGGTTATATGCACATGTGGAATGTGATAGAAGAAAAGATATATGTGGTTACAATGAAAATGATATAAGTACATGTTTATATGAATTATAATCTTAATGCCCATGTTATGTAATCTGAGAGCTCTAGGTATAGTTGGCATGACTAGAGTCGAGGGTTTCATAGGTCTTTCGGGATAACTTATAGATCATTCGGGATAAAATTCCATATGCCACTCAGTGGGACTTATACGAGCTGTGGTGACAGCAGATGTGCACAACCTCTATGTACTCGAATAGCTTATGTTCTCAGTATATACATGGGCCTATAAATCATATGAAAATGTGTATTACCTTATATATTATAGTATTAGTATTGTATATGTATTGAATCATAGGAAATGATCTGATTACTATGTTGCATGTTCATATTCATAAGAAATGCATTATCATTATAAGTTTATGCCTCACTAAGTCTATGACTTAGCGTGTAAGTGATTTACACGTAGGTACAGAAAAGTAAGAAGATCGATCTTAAGAGCAGCAAAGCAGTATATCATCATTTGAAGATCAGATCAGAAGAACCTTACACAATATGTCTGTTTATGTAATATATGTGTTGGCATGTAAATAAAGTCGTTTAGTATGTATGCTTTGATCTATTTTTGTAATGTTTTAAACGTATATATGTAAATGATAATTTTATACTGATGAAAGCTTAAATTTTTATGAGTTTTATACATGTTTTGCCGAAGTTACTGTATCAGTGCATCGATACACTATAGTAGTGCATCGGTACACTGTAACAATGCATCGGTACACTGTAACAGTGCATCGGTACACTGTAGCAATACATCGATACATAATATATATTCTATGTTTTTGTGCATCGGTACATTGTAGCAGTGCATCAATACACTATATCACTGTTCACGGTACTATTCATGAAAACGTTTTTTCTTTAAATTTGTTATAATGAAACATAATTCCATAATATATGATCGTATTTTCTTAATATAAGTCCAAATGTTTAGTTATTTTTGTAAGGAAATTGTTTTAAAAAGTCAATGTGACATCTCGAACTCGTTTCCGGGTCGAGTACGGGTTGGGGTGTTACAGATATGGATGATATAGATTTATGTGTTGTGATATCTGAAGTTAACCTTGTTGACTCTAATCCAAGAGAATGATGGATCGATATTGGAGCCACACATCATATCTATTGCGACAAGGACTCATTTTCTGAATGACACCTTGTAACGATGGGGAAAGCTCTACATGGACAATGTTGCGACTTCCGAAATCAAGGGAACAAT